ATGTGATTTAGAAGCTTAAAAGAGTGGGATGAGATCTCTCTTGCAGAAGTTACCCATTCCATGAGTGGAAGGTGATGGCGCCGAGTGTCTGGAAGAATCGAGGGGCTGAAACCAGCCAATATGTTGCCTCCTCACACGATTCTGACCATGTGTGTGAGGAATGCCAAAATGGGGCGTAACAAGGGGAGCAACCTGTGTTTCTGGTACAATAAGGGAAATCATGCTGAGTTGACTGCCTATGGGAGCAGAAGCCTTTGCTCTGAGAGATGCTTTCGGTACATTGCACCCATCCCCCAGAACCAGGGAAGCTATCCATCACCACGCTCCCTCAACAGCAAGGGTTTCCTCCAATCCTCTGGGGCTTGAGGGCCAATCCTGGAATGGCCAGTCCCAGAAAATGGCTGCCACAGGAGAAGCCTGTCTGTCTGCTCTTACAGTCGATGCACCCATTCAAAAACACACCCGTGGCACAATGGAGTGCAGGGGCGCGAAAGGTCCCCAACAAGGCTGTGGCCTGGGGCGACCACCCCTCTGCCCTGCCCCACACTATGCCACTGCATGAAACACAGCCTGCTCAAAAACATACATGAGAGGCAGAGGTATGGTCTAGGCCACTGGTTCTTAACCTTTGTTACTCAGATGTTTTTGGACTGCAACTCCCAGAAGCCTTCACCATCAGCTCTGCTGGCTGAGGTTTCTGGGAGTTGCAGTTCAAAAACACCTGAGTAACAAAGGTTAAGAACCACTGGTCTAGGCAGGGAAGTACAAAACCACTCCTTTGAATTGATGGCATTCTGTTTCTTCAGCTCCTCGCAGAAAACAAATAAATTGAGCCAAGAAACTGAAAGCATGAGGGGAGGGTGGCTCAGCCCCAGATACTAAACAAGCCTAGGATATTTACAGCAAGTTTGCTTTCTATCATCTTCTGCTGCTCCTCCAGTAGCAACTCCCGTTCTCTCTTCATTTTCTCCTCCAGCTCCTGACGGTTCATCTCGTAGCTCCGTTTCAGATCCTCCATCTTCTGTTGCTGCTCAGCCACCTTCTGCTTCTGGAGCTCTCGCTCTCGTTCTGCTGCCTCAGCCTTCGCCTTGGCCTCTGTTCCCACCCCAGCCCAGAAAGGAAGAAGCTCAGAAGGTGTTGTACAGAAATGCAAAATACAGTTGGAGCACAATTTCTAGATCAGTTTAAGGAAATCTAGGAGTTTAAAAGGCTTCAAGTTGTTTAGCGCTACATAACCGGAGCGCGACATCTGCACAGCATCCGTTACAATGACCTTCCTTGTTTGGCAACCTATTTCTAATCTTGCTTTGGACACAACAATGTACAAGAACAAACC